CTAAATCAACTTGAAATATCAGACCTACCTTGGTATACTGTAGAAGGTATCCAAAGCCTTAGGGAAATTGGTATGTCAGAGGGCCCACACCTTTTACCACAATGGTGAGGAACAAAATTGTGAAGGGAGCCCCAGCAGCCTTGAAGACTGCTGTGATTGTTATTTTATGGAAGTCAGATTTGACAGTGGAACTACCTTAACTGAATTAAGACACCTAACTACAATGGGATTGATTGGACTCTATGGTGGTAGGAGTCAAGTGGCAACACTTAATTGACAAAGACAATTTGTACATGGCTACCAGAATGGACAGTGAGATTAAAGTAGTAATTACAATAGTCTGACTTCTATGGACTTACAGTATTGGCTACTTAGTCATGGTATCCCTGGGAGTGAAATAGATTGAAAATCTACTAAATATTTAATTAATCTGTACAAGTTGAAGAATTCTAGGTCAAGTGAATGGCAGTCTAACTTGAATTGCCAGAATATGGTCACAGACCCTCAATCAATTCCCAGTTTTGAGCCAGTTTACAGACCTACAACCTCTTAAATGAAGGGAAGATCAGGTCCTTTTGAGGAAGGCCCTCACTACACTGCCAAAAATTTATACTATTATTATTTCTCCCAGCTTTCCCCAAAGGGATCTATGCCTTTTACAAGAATGACTGTTCATTGGGAAAAAGGAAATAATCAGGCTGTTCTAAATGTGGTTTCATTACTTAAGTAAACTAATACATCTACTGGCATCTGGTGCACAGCTATTGATCTGGCCAATGCCTACCTCAGAGGTATATGAACTCTCTAGTCCTATGTCATGACAAGGGAACTTATCACCTTTCCCTTCCACTGGTCCATTACAGTGATAACATTATGCTGATTGGGCCTAGTAAAGAAAAACTATCAATGACTCTAGACTTATTGGTAAGACATTTGTGTGCTCCAAAAACCAAACCAAACTCGCTGCTGTCAAGTCATTTCCAATTCATACTGACCCCTCCTTTGGGTTCCGAGGGTATCTCTATGGAAGTAGATTGCTTAATCTTCCTTCGAAGGAGTGGTTGGTGGGTTTAAACCACCAGCCTTCTGATTAGAAGTCAAATGCCTTAGGCACTACACCACCAGAGCTTCCTATTTGTGTGCTGGAGGGTAGGAAATTAACTAGACAAAAATTCAGGTGCCTTCCACCTCAGTTAAATTTCTAGGGTCCAGGAGTATGGGGCATGTTGAGACATTCCTTCTAAAGTGAAGGATAAGTTATTGCATCTGGCTTGTTTTGAGTAGGGCCCATAACAAGAAAAGGACTTGCAAAAGGTTCAAGCTGCCATGCAAGCTGCTCTGCCACTTGGGCCATATGATTTGGCTGATCCAATGGTGTTTGAAGTGTCACTGGCAGATAGCAATGCTGTGTGGAGTGTTTGGCAGGCATCTGTTGGTGAATCACAGCTCAGACACTTAAGATTTTGGAGCAAAGTCCTGCAGTCCTCTACAGATAATTAATCTCTTTGTGAGAAACAGCTTTTGGCTTGTTACTGGGCCTTAGTAGAGACTATTTAACCATAGGTCAAGTCACCATGCAGCCTGAACTGCCCATTATAAACTAGGTGTTGTCTGACCCACATAGTCATAAAGTTGGATGTGCACAGCAACACTCCATCATTAAATGAAAGTGGTACATACAAGATCAGGTTTGAGCAGGACCTTAAGGCACAAGTACATTGCACAAGGAAGGGGCTCGAATGACCATGATCTCCACTCCTGTCACATTACTTTCCCCCTCCCAGTCTGTACCTATGGCTTCCTGAAGGAATTCCTGATAATCAGTTGACTGAGGAAGAGAAAATTCATGCCTGGTTTACAGATGGTTCTGCATGATATGTAAGCACCACATGAAAGTGGACAAAAAAAAGTAGTGTAGTTCTTTTCTGGGACCTTCCTGAAGGACAATGGTGAGAGGAAATCCTCCCATTGGGCAGAACTTTGAGCAGTGCACCTGGTTGTTCACTCTGCTTGGAAGAAAAAGAAGCCAAATGATTTCTGGGTTGTGGCTGATGGTCTGGCTGGATGGTATGTGACTTGGAAGGAACATGGATTAGAAAATGGTGACAGGGAGGTACAAGGAAGAAGTATGAGGATAAAACTCTCTGAATGGGCCAAAGAAGTGAAGATATTTGTCTCTCATATGAATGCATGCTCACCGAAGAGTGAGCTCAGCAGAGGATAATTTGAACAATCAAGTGGATAGGATGATGTGTTCTATGGAAACCAGTCACCCTCTTTCCTCAGTCACTCCTGACATTACCCAGTGGACTCATGGACAAAGTGGCCATGGTGGCAAGGATGGAGGCTATGCATGGGCTCAGCTATATGGACTTTCACTCACCAAAGCCAAATTGGCCATAGCCACTGCTGAATGCCTAATCTGACAGCAGCAGAGACCAACCATGAGTTCCTGATATGGTATCATTCCTTGGTGATCAGCCAGCAACCCTTTGGTAGTTTGATGATGTTGCACAACTTCCATCATGGAAAGAACAGCACTTCAATCTTACTGGAATAGTTACTTATCTGGATATTGATTGGCCTTCCTTGCAGGTAATGCGTCTGCAAAACTACCATCCATGGGCTCAAAGAATGCCTTATCTACCATCAAGGTATCCCACAGCATCGCCTTGGATCAAGGGATTCATTTCACAGAAAATGAAGTATAGCAAAGGGTCCGTGCCCATGCACTGGTCTTACCATGTTTCCAATCATCCTGAAGCAGCTGGCTTGATAGAATGATGGAATAGCCTTCTGAAGATACATTATGGCACCAGCTAGGGGGCAACACTTTGAAGGGTTGGGGCAATGTTCTCCAGGAGGCTGTATATGCTCTAAACCACTATCCAATATATGGTGATGTTCTCCAAAGCCAGAATTCATGGGTCCAAGAACCATGTGGCACCATTCACTATTACTCTTAGTGATCCATTTGCAAAATTTTACTTCCTGTCTCTGTGACTCTATGCTTTATGAGTCTAGAGGTCTTAGTTCTAAAAAATGGGAGGAATGCTTCCACATGGAAACACAACATAGATTTTACTGAACTGGAAGTTAAGAATGTCACCCAGCCACTTTTGGTCTCCTCATGCTTCTGGATCAATAGGCAAAGAAGGGATTTACCATATCAGCTGATGTGATTGACCTTGACTACTAAGGGGAAATCCAATTGATATTGCATAATGGAGGTAAAAAAAAAAAGTGTATGTCTTGAATACAGGAAATCCCTTAGGGTATCTCTTAGTATTACCATGCCCTGTGGTTAAAATCAATGGAACACTCTGAAAAAGAAAAAAACAAACAAAACCCAAACCAAACTCACTGCGGTTGAGTTGGATCTGACTCATAGTGACCCCTCCTCCTTGGGTTTCT